TAGGTCCTTAGATATAGTCATATCTATGGGGGATGTGAAAGTGGTCCTAGCAATGAATGCTACATAAGAGGCAATCCTGTCAGTGTATTTCTAAGGCCCTGGGGCTATGTCTGGACTTCAGGCTTCTTTTGGAGGAACCTTTTTTCAGAAGAAATCTTCTGAAAAACCTTCTTCTAAAAGAGAGCATCCACACACACAAACGCATCAAAAAAGCGATGCGCTTTTCCGAAAGAGAGCATTCAGGCTGATTGGATGCCCTCCCACCTAAAAGGCCACCTGAAACTACTTCAGGCAGGGCTTTAGGTCACCAGTTGCTTCCGAGTGCTGGTGCCGGAGCCTTGCAGAGACACATGGAGAGGCGATCCCATCCCTCCTCGAGCTGCGGGGTCCTGCCCCTGAGCGTGAGGTGCACTCTCTGGCCCGGACATATCCCTGGCAGGGCTCTTTCACCTTACTCTGGACCTGTTCCAAGGTCCGGGGTGGGTGTCCATGCTCCGCCAGGGACTTGGTCATGCGCTTGAATATCTCGGCATTGCAGCACTTGGAGCAGAGATCCTGCAATGTCTTCTCCTTGCCCCACAGCTTGAGGAGGGACAGGATCTCTGCTCCAGACCACGACGGTGCCCACCTCTTGGTCCTTCTGGATGGGACTTGGGACCCCAGGGCTGCTCCCTGCAGGGACCAGGAAGGTTGTAGGGGGCTTGAGGCTGGGCCATGAGTGGCAAGGCCTGTGGTAGGTAGAGCTGCATAGTGAGGTGTGGCTCTCAGGCCGGCTTCCTGCCACAAGGCTTGTCCAGGGTGCCTGCAGCTTTAAGAGGGACCAGGAGACAGGAACTATAGAGTCCTGATTAATTTGGATGGAGTGGCCACCAGGGCACCTGTGTTATTTCCTGGAGGTCTCTTCTTTCGGGGGAAAAAAAACCCTCCTCCCTGTCCACACCCACCTTTTTCCAAAAGATCTCTTTCGGAAAAAGGCTTCTTCCTCATAGAAAGAGGATTACCAATGCCAGAAAACCCTTCTGTTCTTCCGATTTACTTTCAGAAGAATGCAATCGCAGCGTGGACGTAACACAGATTTTGTCAGGAAAATGGCCGTTTTTCCAAAAACTCTGTAGTGTAGATATACCCTGGGGCATGGAGACTTGCAAGGAGGGTGATACAAGACTCTCCTCTCTTTAACCACACAGAGAAGGGGAACCAGCTTAAAAGCTGCCTCTGCGCCGGCTCTTCCGGGGTGTAATCTACTCACCACGGGCGAGTAGATTACATTGTTTGTCGAACCCTGCAAATGAGGCTAAGCATGGAATATCGCCAAGCCTCATTTGCATACCTAATGAGCCACCATTTTTGTGGAAGAGGCTCTTGCGCCATTATTCCTGAAAATAATCAGCGTAGCGGCATTGCGTAAGAGGGCTTTTCTTGCGCAAGAAGGGGCGGTGTAGACAGCTCCTTCTGGCGCAAGAGCCTCTTCTGCAAAAATGGCGACTCATTAGGTATGCAAATGAGGCTTGGCGATATTCCACGCATAGCCTCATTTGCATATTTCTGGCACAAGAACCTACCAGTGTAGACATAGCCCTACTGTACTGAGATCTTGGTCCAGGATGGCTCCGCAGTGCTACAGAACAATAGTAGGGCAACACAATGATAGGTGGATTTCGTCATAGAATAGGCAACTCACACTGAACGATGAATAACATTTTAAACTGTATTGAGAATAGAGGAAAATGAATTGTATAAATTGATGGTTTACCATCCCTTGCAATAGTGTGTTCAGTTTTGGTCACTTCTCAACAAGATCATGGCAGTAGGGCAGAAAGGTCTTTGCCTAATCCTCTTAAAATTGTTGCTACTTTTTGAGGGGCAGGGAATGTGGTATCTTCCATACAAGGCAAGGTTTAAAAGCTTAAGGCTGCTTAATGCCCAGTTTTACCATTTATTCATGTTGAATAAGCCCTTCCTCTGAGTAATCTCATTGACTTCAGTGGCACTACATGTGAAGTAAGGAAGGTCACAGAATCTGACCCCCAAGTTTTCCTTTAGTACATACCGTCAGTGCATACTCAAAAGCCTCTGGCATCTTAGGTGCTAAGATACCACAGTGGTGATCGCTATATTAGCAGATACTGATGTCTTTCAGACTAAGGATGTTAAATAACGATTAATTTACTAGTTGAGTAGCTGATGGAATTTCCGATAGGCACTTCTGCATTCCTCCTTTAAAACGTACAAGAGCCCCCACTGGGACACTTATGCATTTCAGATTTGGAACTCATCGTGCAACCTGGGGCCAGTGGGAAATCCCACTGACTCCAGGCTCCACACGGGCGCTTCTGCTTTGAAATGCACAAGACTTCCTGCTGGCCCTGGGTTGCACGCGGCATGCCAGCTTTGAAATATATGAGTCCCCAGCTGACCCCAGGCTCCATGTGGTGCTGCCACTTTGAAATGCCACCCAGGGCTCTGTGCGGCACTTCCCTGGAACCCGGAATCAGCTGGGGATTCCCCAGCTTACTCCGGGTTTTGTGGAAATGCTGCACAGAGCCCGGGGTCAGCTAGGGAATACCCAGCTGACCCCGGACTCCGTGCAGCTCTGCAGCTTTGAAATACTGCGGCGGCGTTTCAAAGGGGCAGCGCTGTATGGAGCTCGGGATCAGCTCTCTGTGGGGCTGCCACTTTGAAACAGTGAGCCTGGGATCAGCTGTGCCGCGCTGCCCCTTTGAAACACCACCATGGCATTTCACAGCAGGAGCGCCACACAGAGCCTGGGGTACAGGCTCTGTTTGGCACTGTCGCTTTGAAGTACCCCTTTTCCACCACCCCCTTTGCTACCTCTATCTGATAGAGGCAGCAAGGGGGAGGGAGGAAATCGATTAGTCCTTAACATCCTTACTTCAGACTATTGTTCCCTTTCCTCATTTTAGAGTAACAGATGCTGTTCTCTCTTTTTCTTTAGAAACAGGTATTTGTGTTGATATTTGCTGTTATCTTACTGAGTGGTTCCAACAATTTGGTTTTCTATCTAGCTGGTTTCAGTGGCTTGCTTAAATACAACCATTCAAGGAAATAAAATGCTTGGCTGTGGCCACCCACATCTCTGCTCCACATGTGGTAGGGACTGCATGCCTCTCAAACCTTTCCTCCTCTGCAAGGGGAGGGAGAGTAGAGAGTGAATTGAGCATTGACTTTCTCTGCTGGGGTGTGTGGTGGACTAGCATAAGTTACTGCATCCAGGAAACATGAATTGAGTGGAGATGAAATTGAGAGTCACAGTTCCTTCTCCCAGGCCAACACTTATTTAAAAGATTGAGCAAAGGCTCATTCTAATCCTAAATGGTGGCATTCTAACAGCATACATTCTGGAATTGTTGATGAAATGCTGTCAAGTTTAAAGTGCAACAGATTAAATATTCCCCTGATCTGAGTACACTTGATGCTGAGTGAAAACATTTTTGGCCTTTATCTTGGGAGAGGGATTTTTTTTTTGATCTACAGAAAACATTATTTATTCTATAAAGGCTAATGGGGATCATCTCTGAAATCCATCATGCTCTGTGTGGAACTAAACATCTGTTCAAGACTTATTAGAGAAAAATTGTTGTGGTTTATTTTTTTAACTTTTTATATTCTGAATAAAATCTTGATTATGTCTAAGGCCTTGTCTACACTGGCAAGTTTTGTCATCAAGACCTGCCTTTTGGTGACAAAACAGACAGCATTTACACTACAATGCGACTTTTGTTGGGGGGGGGGAACCAATTTTGGCGACAAACTTCCAGGCTTGTAAGAGATGTTTGTCTTTATCCTCCTTTTATTGTTGACAAAAAGCCAGCGTGGACTCTGTTTTGTTGAGAGAACTGGCTTCCACCAGTATCCCACAATACCTGCCCTGCTGACACTGGTCAGTGTTTTGTGATCTCTGCTGCTCTGCAGGCACACACCCCTTCCCTTTTAAAGCTCCAGAAAGTATCTGACAGATGAGTGAGATGCTCTGTTTGAGGAACACACAAAAAGAGCAAATAATTGGCATGCTCACATTCTGCCTTGCTAGAAACATAACAGCAGTCTGCCTGCTGCTACAGGGGAAGGAATGGAAAGATTGATCTGCTGCTTTGAAATTCCTCAGCATGGAGAGCTCAGAGAGCTACTCACGCTGCCACTTCCCGCAGCTCTGAGTGCTGTGGGAGAACTTGGAGGGAATCCCAGGAAGTGCAGAGATCAACTCTCCCTTTCCACAATATTGCGCTGTGGGATGGTTACCCACATTGCTTTACTCTGTCTGTCGACAGGGGAGCTAGCAGTGTGGACATGAAATGTTGGCAATGGGAGGCAGAAAAAACAGTTAGACCAGTTTTCGCTTTTGCATGTCAACAGCACTTTTGTTACCAAACCTTCCCTGTTTAGACATAGCCTTTGACCCCGATTCTGCAGTTGGATACATGCAGGCAGATCCCTACATTGTTCAGTCTTACTGAAGTCAATAGGCTCCATGCAGGCACAAGTTCCTACCTGAAAGGATATAGCTGCAGGACTAGGGTCTAATAATATCCGCTAACAAACTGATGTTTAAGTAAACTTAAAACACAATGATCCTGTAGCATCTTAGAGACTAACCAAAAATATATAGAGACAGTATCATGAGCTTTCGTAGGCACAACCCACTTCTTCAGATGACACGCAACATGACAAATGATGTTTATAGTAAGATCAATAGCACATAGATTTGGAATGAGACAGGTCTGTGATGTTTTTGGATCTGTTTAAATCCCACAATTCAGCAAAACACCTAAGCATGTGCTTAACTTAATGATAAACATGTGCTTAGCCTGTAATTAGAATGCTTTCTCTAAATGATGTGACCCAAAGTTCAGTGTCCATTAAATTGAGCTGATATGTAATTTAAAGAACGTATACTATGCATTTTCTCTAAAAGGCCCTCACAATAATTCAGCAAGTCAGGCTCCATTGTTCAGCAGTTTATAAATATGCATTCTATAAAGTTTGTCCTATATAGCCTGCAACTGAGCAGATGTTTGGGCACATTAAAAATACATGATATGGTAACTAAGCAATACAGATGCTACAGAATTAGTCTGATCCATTTATACAAGTTTTATAGTAAAAATATTTTATTCAGTTCATTGCATTTTTGTTCAAGTTTTGTATTTGACATAAAGATTATTCCATAGAAATAAACCATTTATAAATAGAATGACAGGAACAACCAAAAAACCAAAAAAAAGTGGGGGCAACTGATGTGTCCTCTGTTTACATTACTGTCCTTTCAAGGTGAATCTGAAATCACCTCTGTCTGCCATACAGATCCACAAAGTCATGTAGCAGGAATACTGAGCCCCATCCCACCTTGGGATTCATACTGATAAAATCATCCAGGTTCATCTTGGCATCTAGACAAGAAGCACAAAAGGGAAATATTAAGAGTCTTATATAGAATCTATGTAGCACAGACAAACAGTGGATTCTCTGTAACTTGAAATCTTTAAATCATGATTTGAGGACTTCAGTAACTCTCAGCCAAAAGTTAGGGGCCTATTACATGAGTGGGTGGGTGAGGTTCTGGGGCCTGTAGGATGTCAAATTAGATGATCATAATGGTCCCTTCTGATCTTAAAGTCTATCAAATACACAAAATCATTCCAGCACTGTTAGAAGTATCTAAACTAGGGCGTGTTTATTCCCCAAGGAAAGCTTGAGTTATTTTGAAATAACCAGCCCAATATTTTGAAATAACAGGTTTGCTTGGTAATGTGTGTTGTAAAGCAGGCTTTTTCTGTCCACGGCCTTCGCGTATAGCCCATCCTGCCACACAAGGCCCCTCACACAAAACCCAGATACTCAGAGGAGCATGGGAAGCACAATGCAGTTTTTGTGAATGGAATTTGACCTTATAGGCATCCTGGAACTCAAAGGCACCAAGAAAATAGGGAGGTAAGCATAACTAGATAACGCCTAGCTGAATTTACAGATAAGCCTCATTTGACCGTAGCTTGACCAGTCTTAGGGGCAAGGGAAAAAGTAAACATAGGGTAATAAAACACAGTTGTCTCACACTAACTATGCCCCATCTGGTCCTGTCCACGAGGGGATCACGCATACATCACGAAAATTCCTATAGGGCAGTATTGTCATACTACCTCATCACTAGCCTATCAGGCCCTGCCAAATGCAGACCCTAGCATGGCATTAGACACCGAATTTTTGTATAAAAGACCATCTACCCCTTTGTTCGACGGAGGTTCCGTGTATTGAGGGCACGTGTCTTTTTTTTTTTTGCCCGGCTAAAGGATTGATCACTCTGAGGCTGCCTCCCCACCCTTCGAATCAAATATAGGGGTGCACGAGTCCTGAGCATGCTCCGAGTTCTAGTGTGTCTTTGTGTTGTTATCATTTCTGGATTTGTAAGTATTGCTTAAATGTATTAGTTATTGGTTTAATAGTCAAATTGTGTTAATTTCACTGTGTAATTCTGTAAAGCGTATCTAAGTTCTGTTAACCACACTGTGTAAATTGTATAATTTTGTGTTGTGTAGTAGTGTTGTATTTAGGTTAAATATAAGTGTTAGAAATAGACGCCCCGGAGTTGTTAAGTTGTAAAAGTAGATTTATGACTAACTCCACCAGCTGCCCTAAAATAACCATAGAGGAGCTGGCTTTAGACAAAGTTTTTATTATCATTATATTGTCTTTGTTTTGTATTTTTGTTAAGCAAATTAGAGACAGTGATTTGGTATAGTTGAATTGTAATCAAAGAAGTTTGTAATTAGTTAAGTACAGCTAAGTTTAGGGTTTTCTACACTGTAAAAGTACTAAGCAATTGCTAGTTTAAAAAAAAACCATTTGCTAATTGTTAGTTTTGATAAAAAAATCATTCTATTTAATAAAAATAATTTGTTTCACCATCATCCAGTAGTTTTCACTGGGTAGTCGGCTTTAACCCTTGAGGCTCCCATCACATCACCGAACCAAGATGTAACAATGTGGACACTCTGCTTGTTTTGAAATAAGGGCTACACTGCAGGCTTCTTGTGCAAGAATGGCCAGTCTTGTGCAAAAAAACTTACAGAATGTCTACACTGCACATGCGTACTTGCTTTACTGTAAATTTACTTGCACCTCGAAATAGAGGGCTTCTTGCGCAAGAGTTATTCCTCTCCCCATGAGGAATAAGCCCTCTTGAGCAAAAGCTCTTGCGCAAAAGGCAGTGTGGACGGGCAACAGGAGTTTCTTGTGCAAGAAATCCCTATGCTAAAATGGCCATCAGAGCTTTCATGCGCAAGAGTGTGTCCACACTGCCATGGACGTTCTTGCGCAAAAGCACATCTCTTGTGCAAAAGCACATGTCAGCAAGGATGCGCTCTTGCACAAGACCTTTTGACCAAGAACTCTTGTGCAAAACCGTTCTTGCGCAAGAAGCCTGTAGTTAGACGTAGCCCCTTAGTGTAGACCAGGGCCTACAGTGCTATCTGGCATTGTAGCATAGACATAAATCTACTGTATTTACTGTAGTGCCTTACTGCTGTATTTGATTTTTAAAACATGGATTATTTAGATAAATCTGAGGATTCAAAGCCAGAGCCTACTATTGTTTAACTGATAGATATACAAATACAGTATACTGTATAAAATTAACTTCAACTGAGTAATTTGATTTTTTTACTCATTCAGTGCACTAGGGATTTAGAAAGAGTAGAAACCTCTTAAATGCAGAGTCCTCCTCCTGTTCCACCTTTCATTCCAGCCTATGGTAGGGCCTGTGTATAGTGACAGCAAAATAATTATTTAAAAAGTGTTCCTTACATGGTAGGCAAGCCCAGAGGGACACTTGACCAGTTAAGTTACAAACTCTGAAGCGGGGGGAGAGGAAAAGTGATGAGTGGGGAGAGGAAAAAGTATTTTTAAACAAGGAAACACAGATGCAACTGTAGGCATTGTGAAAGGATACTGCCACAATCTTTTAGGGGAGTAAAAAAGATTCTTCTAAAAGGTCTATTAAAACAATTTTAATGAAGGGATTTTTTTCCTTTTAAATAGCAGGCCAAAACTTCTAAGTCGACAGTGTTTCAGGTATCAATCAATAAATAAATAGCTGGCACTGAAACTGCATGACAGCGAGTTCCCTTGGCATTGTATGTCTAACAAGTAGTATATCTTGCAATCAGACCTATCAAATATTTTATTAATAAGTCCTTTGTTCTGGTTGCAAGGAAAAAGCCAGGAGAGGAGAAGGCAGCAAGTCGACACCCCCTTGCCAATGATGAGTGGCCATTTCAGACTTCAAGTTTGCCCCTGAGGTAAGGGGCTAGATGATGACTGGCAATGGGTCACTGAAGCAAGGTGGGTATAGGGAAGTTGTGGGTTCCCTGGGAGGGGAGGACCCCAGAGTACAGGGGCACTGACCTAGGACAATCTGAGGAGGAAAGGGCACTGTGGCCAGGAAGGGACACTGAGATCAGTGCAGGTCTGCTGGCTTGAGGCTGGGACATTAACCAGCAGTGGGCACTCTGAGGCAGGAGTGCTGAACCCCAGAGCTGTCAGTGGGAGGTGCTGGGGGAAGGGCGAGTGCTCCCTGTGATTCTGGGGCTTTAATTGAAGTATTTCAAGCTTCATGATAAAAATCATGAAAACAGGCAATCCTGGAAGTGATACAGGAAGTTATATTGGTAATGCTGTAGGTAGCACTTTGCCTTCTGAAGCTATTTCTACACCACCAGATTATTTTGAAATAACTCCTGCTTGTGAAGAGGAATAAGCTTACAGTAATTCCTCATTTAACACTATAGCTACATGTCTGAAAATGTTCATGCTAAGTGAAAATGTGCTATACGGGGTCAATTTTCCCATTACAAATAATGGAAAAGGTGGGGGTTGTGTTTCAGGTAGTGGTGGCAAAGTCAATTTTCTATTGGAGCTTGGTCATCAACGTCAACATTAGATATCTAGCAACACAAGATGCCGTGGTTTATTAAAACACAAAGATAAATACGTGAGCGAGCGGAGGAGCGCTGTGACCATGTGTATTCATCTGCTCATGCGTATTACCACTGTTTTTACCAACTTATACCGTCGCACAAAGTAGTCCACCACTTGACCGTCCCCAAAATAACACAAAAAAAATAACACGAAAATAATAGTGTTATTTGAAAAACGTTCCCTAAAAAAAAATTGGGCTATTGCGAAAACGTGTTAAGCGGGCTCGTGTTAAACGAGTAATTACTGTATTTTGATATAGTTATTATGGGAGTTATTTGAAATAATGGGCTTGGTAGTGTGGATGCTTGCCTTGTTATTTCAAAATAAGGGGGAGTTATTTCAAAATAACTTGCCAGTGTACACATGCCTTAAAAACGTTCCCTAAAAAAAAATTGGGCTATTGCGAAAACGTGTTAAGCGGGCTCGTGTTAAACGAGTAATTACTGTATTTTGATATAGTTATTATGGGAGTTATTTGAAATAATGGGCTTGGTAGTGTGGATGCTTGCCTTGTTATTTCAAAATAAGGGGGAGTTATTTCAAAATAACTTGCCAGTGTACACATGCCTTAAAAACTCATAGAGGTGATGGAATATAACTCCTGACCATTTGGGAGAATTAAAAATCCATAAAAGTGGGGGTGGAAGTGTTCAGTCCTAGTTAAACAGGATAATTCAATTTATTGTATCTACATTTGCTCTTTCATTTCTATTTGATATTCTTTGTCACATTCTGTTGTGCTGTGATCCATTAAGCAGCTGCTACATTCCACATGAAAGTGGAAACATTTCAGTAACAGGAAAAACACATTTCTATCATTTGAGTTTTATAAAAGACTGGATCCTTCAAAATAAAAAGGAACTACAATATTGAATACAAATAGGCTACGTCTAGACTGGCATGATTTTCCGGAAATGCTTTTAACGGAAGTTTTCCATTAAAAGCATTTTTGGAACAGAGCGTCTAGATTGGCACGGACGCTTTTCCACAAAAGCACTTTTTGCGGAAAAGCATCCGTGCCAAGCTAGACGCGCTTTTCTGCAAAAAAGCACCGATCGCCATTTTCGCAATCAGGGCTTTTTTGCACAAAACAAATCTCAGCTGTCTACACTGGCCCTTTTGCACAAAAGTTTTGCGCAAAAGGACTTTTGCCTGAATGGGAGCAGCATAGTATTTCCGCAAGAAGTACTGATTTCTTACAGTAGGAAGTCAGTGCTTTTGCGGAAATTCAAGCGGCCAGTGTAGACAGCTGGCAAGTTTTTCTGGAAAAGTGTCTGATTTTCCGGAAAAACTGGCCAGTCTAGACACAGCCATATTTTGTAGGAGCAGAGCAACAAAACTGATCATCATTAATAAATTGTACCTAGATATCTACTCTATATTATAGAGTTTGTCTGTGTCAAAACTGTTCCCCACTGTCGCAGGAGGTGGGGTCCTGCAAGAGACCTTAAAATACCTTGCCCATAAAGGCTTTTGCTTAGACTCAAGGGCACGGATTCCTTGACCTTGGATGGTACACTGCCACCACCCAATTGCAAAAACCTCTTGAAAACCACGAAGATATACTTGGGACTTTCTCTGTAGGATAACCCCAAGCTTTTTAATCCTCCCTCAGGAAAAAGCTTGAAAACAAACTAATCTCTTAATAGCTAACTATCAGTCTCAGAAGCTTCAGGGGGTAGCTGAGTTAGTTTGTACAGGATAAACTTAAAAAAAACAACAAATGGTCTGGTAGCACTTTATAGACTAACAAAACATGTAGATGGTATCGTGAGCTTTCCTTGGCACACCCCACTTCTTCAGATGACCTGAGTCTAATGACTATTAGTATACGATACCTTACAAATGAACTGATAACACAATAAGCAGGAACAACTTTGCCAACCACTAAAATGCAGTAACCGCTAGAGTGAAATATGTGAGCAATTTAATGAGGAAATGCCATATTTAACCAACTCTGCATGAATTTCTGCAGAGTGAATGAATTCTTGAACTGGAATTTCGTCAGGACACTGGGGCTAACTCCCATAAGGTCTTAAGCACAGGAAGTCAGCCCCCCTCAGTTTTCTCTCCCCCCAAGTGAGAGAGAAAAGACACCTCCAGAAGAATAGGTTCTTTGTAACAGTGCTGAAATATTAGTTTATTATGGAGTGAGTGAAGAGTGCCACCTACTGATTTACCAGTAGCAAAGTATTTCAGTTTCTTGTCCCACTTCTATCTTTCAAGGACAAACTTTGAATTACAGTTACCTCCAACAAAATTATTAGCAGAACTTTGATTTACAGGGTTCATACTGAGCTTGGGGCTTGAATCATTGGTGACTCAATTTGGGAAGGAAATCAGGCATCTCCCTAACTTTCTAAGCACATGATTAGCTCCACTCCTTAAGAACCTTCTGTTCAAAAAGATGTTTATGAATATCTTAAGTGAATGAAGGAATAAGACTGGAGGAGAAAAAACTGAACCTGGCTAAGAAAGGAAAAAGTATAAGGATAGCAGAGAAGAAGGGAATGAAAACAAAACAAAAGCATCAAGTGTTTACTAGACTGTGTCAGAATATTCTGGACCAAACTACTTCAGCACGTGCTCAACTTCAAACAGAGGCATAACATTTGCACTGAGTGCAACAATACTACTCACCTGCTTAGTGTCAAGCACAAGAGAAAGTGCTTACCTGGAGTGGGGTGAGAGAGCTCAGCAACCTGATTCATATCCCTACAATAAAGCATTCCAGGGTGCCATTTCAGGAGGTGAAGAGGCAGCCACACATGCCAGGATGCCGCTTGCTCTTCTAGTCAGAGGAATGGGAAAAGCAAGCAGTGTCCCAGTATGTGCGGCTGCAGCCCCCACTGCTCTCCCAAAATGGCACCCTTGAAAGCATCCCTACTCAAAGTAAGTACATGCTTAAATCCAAGCCCCACTGAAGACAGTGGGTCTTAAGCACATGATTAAGAGCCATCCTGAATAGAGATGAACTTCTGCATAGGGATTTAAGTTACTAATCAGCTATTTGATAAGCTAAAGCTTATAACACACTAGTCAATTAGTTGCTCCTTCCCCTTCCTGCCTCTATCAGAAAGAGGCAGCAAGGGGGGGATAGAGGAGGGTGTGCTTAAAAGCCAGCTCCTCCAGCTCCGTGGGAGGGGGCAGGAGCACAGCAATGGTGTTCCACCTTTGAAACGTACAAGAATCCTGGCTGGGGTTCTTGTGCATTTCAAAGATTGAAATGCTGCATGGAGTCCCCTGCTGACCCAGGGCTCCATGTAGCATTTCAAAGGCAGAACACAGTCCTGCTACATTTCAAAGGCAGACGTGCAACAGCCATGCCAGCTCTTGCTACATTTCAAAGCAGAAGCACCCTTATTGACCAATCAATTAGTTGATGGAAATTCCATTGACTAGTTCATTAGTCTAATTTTAACATCCCTACTTCTGCACATGCTTAAATGCTTTCCTGAATTAGCTATTTTAAAAAAAAAAAACAACCACACCCCCACTATGCTTTGAGCCACTGAGCCAAATTAAGGGATAGGCACTGCTGGCTTATTGAAAGCCCTAGCTCCTGGAGCCCCATGACAAGGTCAGAACCTCAACTCTCCTTTTTAAATTATGTTTCTATTCCTCACATATTTAAGCACAAGCTTGAAAATGTGACCTCAGTAACTGAAACCTGATTGGCAGACAACTTAAAACATTAGTTTTGAGAAGAATGAATTGTCCCATTCTTCTGAACTGATAGCTGCGCCATGCCAAGGTGAGGCAGGGCTGTACCATGGGGACAACATATGGGATGTAACTACAGTCCTAGTGTATCTTAACTCAGTCCTCTTACTCACAAGGACATATACTTCCTCCCTGTGAAGAGATTCTGAATACAAGACAGACGCAGGAATTCCTAAATTCCAATCGCAAGTCTATCAGAGATTCACTAAAGGATTGTGAGCAAGTCACTTTATCCTGTGTGCATCAGTTCCTATAATGAGTGGACACTGATGCTTACATGCCCATCTTACACAAGGTGTTGTGAAGTGGGGATGTGAATGATAAATGATAAAATGATAAAATACTAGGACTGGAAGGGACCTCGAGAGGTCATCGAGTCCAGTCCCCTGCCCTCATGGCAGGACCAAGTACTGTCTAGACTATCCCCGATAGACATTTATCTAACCTACTCTTAAATATCTCCAGAGATGGAGATTTCACAACCTCCCTGGGCAATTTATTCCAGTGTTTGACTACCCTGACAGTTAGAAACTTTTTCCTAATGTCCAACCTAAATAAGCAAATGCTTATTGTATAGTCAACACACTCATTGACTAATCAGTCCCCACCCCCTTGCTGCCTCTATCAGAAAGAAGCAACAAGTGGGGGCAGGAGCGGAGAAGAAGAGGTGGTGCCTCAAAGTGGCAGCACCATGTGGAGCCTGGGGACAGGCAATTTGCATCGACTATTTGATTAGCCAAATAATTGAAATTTTACATCCTTATTGTGAAGATTAACGTTCAACAAATGCCAGAAACGGTGTTGAATGTTACATAATCCCATAAGTATATACCAAACATCTTGGGAGTTCATTTTTTCTGAAGAGCTAATAAAGCACTTTGTCTTGAAAGGTGGCAGTGCTTTCATGGTATATTATGGAAGCATAAATATCATGTATGCAACTTCCTCAAATCCTGTTCCTTCTGATTGAAGTAAAAGGGGTAGAGTAGAATGCTGTTTACCTTCAGTTTCAATGCAAGGATAGGAAGGAGGAGGCTTCTGCCAGTGTCCACTAGCATCTTTCATGTGGGATCGGTCAGAAGCAAATGTCTTCAGATACAAGTCTGCTCGCACCAGTCTGACTTTTCTAAATAAACATATAATTAAGAATTGTACTAAGTGATGGAGTTATATAACACTGTTAGACATTACTAACCCTGATCCTGCTCCTGCCCTTGTTGAGTAATAAAAAGTGAGGTATTAATAGTGTCATGTAGCTGAATGACTAACAGGAAGGTACAAAAGGAAATACTTTTTTTTTTTTTTTTTTAAAGGGGTGAACTATTGTCTTCTAAAGAGCAGTATCACGTGTTTATTTCCTGCACAGTACTATTGATGCAACCAACATCTTTCTTTGTATGCATAATTGTAGGGCCCTGGCTTTTGTAAAATATTCTGTACCCCAGGGGTTCTCAAACTTTGGGATACCTAAAATGCTAAATGAATTTGTGACCCCTCACCCGCTCTGCCCTGGGTCGCTTCCTCCCCCCTTCTCACCAGACTCCTTGTCCTTCTGGGGTTCCTTCAAGGCATTTGCAGTCCTCAACGCCCTTCCACCTGCAGGCTCCCTTCCCCAGTCTCTTTCTCCTCTGTGCCTCTTTTGCACTCCGTGACCCTTTGGTTCCTTCTCTCTCTTCTCCTCTGTCCTCCACTCCTCCCCCATGTCTTCTCTGCCTCCTCCTCTGACCCCCACGTGCCCTTATTTACTTCCGGGTCCTCCGCCCCAACCCAATCCCCCAGCCCACTGCCTGAGGGATTCTGCCCTCTCCCATCTGGGGAAGCGTTTGGTCACCCAGCCACCACCCCTCTGCCAGCCCCTCGCGTGTCTGCTCCTGCGCCGGCGCCAGCTTCACTCTCCTGCCGCCTCGCCTCCTCCTGCAGCTAAGCCACGCTCCTGGAAGGCCCGGCCACGCTGCACAGCTTGCTGGCACCTGCTTTTTGCCACCCTGCTGCTCTTCGCAGCCCGGGGGGAAGAGAGGTTGCAAATTAAAAACCAAATCCAGCTGTGACTCCTACCCCCACCCCCCCCAAT